GGAACCGGTCTGTATGTGGGATCCGAACCCTCAGCGGGAGCGCCGCTGCGCTCCCAAGCAGCGCATTGTAGCAGTGCGCCACCGGGCCGGCCCCCCAGAGCTAACATTTTTAAGTTACACAGAGCAGAAACGTTGCTAAAGGATCTTGTCTTAAATGACAGCACAGGTGTTCACAAAATATTAATACTATTAATAGGAAAACCAGCAATTTACTGTATTGGGAAGGGAAAATATATGGTTTCTATTCGTATGTTTAAATTGCCTAACTTGAGACAAAAAAATTTCTTACTGTACTTACGTAGAATATTTTCATTGAAAGAGATGTTATGCATTGCTTAGATAATATACATCACTAGGAACAATCTTATTTAAGTATGCTTTTAAAAACCTTTAATCTTTTAAACTTTTAAGTATAGAAATATTGTTTTCCAGCTAGTATTCTGTGATTAGGCATACAAAAATGAACAAGATGTGGTTCCTGCAATTGAGAAACTTATTCCTGAATGAAAGACTCATATCTCTGGGCATACACCTACTAAGTATTATCATATCATTGAAGTTTACCTACATTGCTATGGGAGCACAGATGGGAGAATAATTAATTTAACATTGTAGAGTAGAGAAAAGGTAAAAGAAAACCCTATTGCTTCCTTTATAAAACCAAACTAGTTCATCCAGGTGTTGACTAATGATTCTAATATTTCACTGTTTGAAATTAGATATGCTTCCTTCTGGGACTTTTTTCCCCCTGAATAAATCTTTTGTTCACAATGCTTTATCTTTTGGTTCTAATAATTACCATTATAAAAGTTGGGTAGATGAGTGATTCTATAAGGGAAAGATGAATCCAAGTGTCAGGATGTGGGTCTATGGGGATTTTTTTTTTTTTATCCCCAGCCTTGGAGCACCAGGATGTAATTTCCTAATCTCCCCAAGGGAACTGCAGGGTGTTTTGTTTGTTTTAAAGGCTTCACAGAGCAGTTAACATCTGAACTGGGATTTGAAAGATGAGTAGAATTTTTGAAGTGGGGAAAAGGTATTCTGGGCAGAAAAAAAGTCTGATAAACGGAAGACTCAGAGAGTTAGAAACTAAAGCTGACTCAGGAGTCTTCTGGTATGGGGGATAGAGTGAATGGTACTACTGTTAACTAAGGAGGCATGTTTGGGGTCTGGTGTGGATGGAGTAGGATTTCTGTTTTGGGCATATTAATTTGGGGATTTTTTTGATCATTCCACTAAAATGTTTTAATTACCTGCAAAATGCTCAGGCCTCAAGAATTCAGACAGAAAATAATCTGTTCTTAGACTGGGGAGTGGGGGGAGAGAAGACAGGGAGATATTGGCCAATGGGTACAAAATTACAATTAGGAGGAATAAATTGTGATGTTCTGTTGCACAGCAAAGTGACTATGGTTAACAGTTAAGTGTGTACATTACATCATAGCTAGAGGGGAGGCTTTTGAAAGTTTTCCACAGAGAAATGATAAATGCACGAGGTGATGGTTACATTAACTACCCTGACCTGATGGTTATACAACATATATATGCATCAAAACATCAGATTGTACCTCATAAGTATGTACAATTACAATGTATCGATTCAAATTTAAAAAAAACTCTTGTAGACTGTTGGAAAGAGAGGCAAGGGAAAATTACAATGCACATTTGAATATGCTGTGATAAAAATAATCACAGGGTGTGATGGGGACCTTGGGATTTTTGATCACCTAATTGAGACTGAGGATGGGAATGGGGAACATGAGGAGTGTTAGGAAAGAATACTTGTAAGATTGCCTCATGGGATTCAAGTTTTGTTTTGAAGTCTGAGTTAACTAGATGGCAGGGGTATGGAGAGATGGGGAAACATTTCAGGCAAAAATATTTATGTGACACTTTGTTTTATGTTTTCTCATACACTTGTGGTTGAGTTTAACTGGTAGGAACTATTTAAGTGAGGATTGAGAGGGCCTGCAGATCATGTGTGTCGATTTTTATCTTGAAGACAGTCTTTAGAGTAAAGGTGATAGGAAGCTAATAAGGATTTGAAATAGGGGAATGACTTGATTATATGAGATGCGTAGCAACAAGTTGGAAATATGTGCTCAGAAAAGCAGTTGGAAAGAAAGAAAAACTAAAAGAAAAAAGAAAAGCAGTTGGCTTTGGAGTATAAATTTAACTAGGAGGTTACAATAATGGATAAAAAGTGCTTCCTGCTTGGTTGTAAAGACAGGTAAACAAAAATTACATTACAGTGTGCTAAGTGTGGTGGTGTGAAGTACTATGAATTAAATATACAAGGAAAGGAAGTGACTTTCAATTATGCACTTAAGAGTCATGAATATATGGATGATATTTGCAACTGAGAATATCAGTGACATTTTCTAGAGGAAGATTTTAAAGACAAAGATGAATGAACTAACAATTAGTATTCTGGGAACAAGCAACTTTATGGGACAGTGGTTGAAGAATCATCATCTAAAGCCATGATTTTAACACTGTGGATTGCAACCAAATAGTAGGTTGCAAAATCAATATAGTTGATTATAGACAGAATTTAAAAAATACAGATTAGGAGAGAATAGAATATATCAGGGTATATGTAGTAAAGTTAATTATTCTGTGAAATTTCATTCAAATGTGTGTGTATGTGTGTTGGTTGCTGTGTAAAGTGCATTTCTTTGTATAGGTTATTGTCACAAACTTTTGAAAAACGCCAATATAACACACTAAGGAAGAACAGTCAGAAATAATTAAATTACTTTGTTCTTCAGTATTCTGAGAGCAAGGAAAAAAATGAGCACAGTGAAAGTGCAAAGGGACGGAGCTTTTCTATTTGTGGTCTAGAGCCCAGATGGTCTCCCCTTATGCCACCTTTATTGCATCAGACACAGGAAGAAGAATACAAAGAAATAAAGGAAGAGGACCTGCAAGATGGCCAAAGATGGAGAGCAAGAGGGTGATAGAGAACATGAATGAGAAATGCGAATGACAGAGAATGAATCTTTGTGGATACTTTTCTTTTAATCTAACCCTGCTGTTGTGATGACAAAAGTTGTATTCCCTAGCACCACGATTCAATAAACCCCCTGGACTTATCCCACGGTATCAACTCTGTTCCACATTAGGGATAGAGCCTGAGGAAGAACCTGGCAAAGGATTACAAATCTGCCCATAATTAAAATTGTGATGTAGTAAGATCAATACTAGAGGTTATTGAGAGGTTAACTATAGGCAAAGAACTGTTATGAGCACGTAAATGAATGATCTCACCAAATAAGTTAGTATTTGTAAAGCCCTTAAACAGTGTCTTGCACATTGTAAGCACTTAGTGTGTTTGGCTATTATTAGAACACTGTGAACAGTAAGCACTCAGTAGGTATTGGCTATTATTATTTAATTAATTAGGTAATTGTTACTGAGTATCACTATTTTATTAGTAAAGAAAGGCATAATAAAGTAACTTGCTTAAGATTATATAACTATCATTTCTTTCTGAGTTGGAGGTGAGAGACTGTTTAGTGTAGATCTCTATAGTGAGTTGTATGATGATTGGTGCTTGAAATATGATGGTAGAGAGAAGAAAAAAGATGTGTCATAGGTGAAAGACATTCTGTATAAAAACTATAAGATTTTAAGGTGGTTTACCAGCAAAATGGTAAATAGGATGAAAGAAAATAAGGAAGAAAACTTTTAAGCTGGTAGGAAATGATGACAAATTCCATTAATCATGTTGACTTTCATGTCAGATAGTCAAGTGAAATTTACTAGCAGGGAATTCAAAACTAAGAGATTTAGGCATTATTACATAAGGGAATTGGTAGAAGCTCTGGGAGTATTTGAGATCACCAAGGATAACCAATATTTTTTGGCCACAAAAACCTGGGGAGTCAAAAATAAGTTCATGGTAATAGCTTCTGTGCAAAATTTAGACATCTTCGCAGACACCTAATTTGTAGAAAATCTACAAATACTTGTAGGCATCTTCAAAAAAAGAGCATGTCGCTACTGCTGTAGGGACTGGCTGTTGACTGGAAGTCACTATATTCCTTACTCCTACCCTGGTTGCTATGATTATGTGGTTATGTGCTACCATCAGCAAGAAGAGACCTCAATGAAGGTGGCATCAATTGTACTCTGGGACATGTTTCATCACCACAGAAATTGCTGCTTCCCAGGTGACATTCACAGAGAAAAAGCTCTCAATTTTTCTTATTCTTTTGTCTCACTATTCTCACCTCAGGTCTGAGTCATTATCCATTGGCTTTTTCTGTACCCCTGTCCAAATGACAGGTATGTTGGCTTCATAGCTCCTCAGTCAAATTTGTGTGCCTTCATGGTTCCTGACTGTCAGATGAATTCTTACACAAGATGTTTCTCAGTTCTTGTTCCATCAGTCCTCTGGCACAGATAGACTTGCTTGAATCCTAGAATGAAGGCCACTTATTAGGCTCAAACTCGGGCCAGAACCCTTGGTACGTGCTCTCTCGAGGAGAGAGAGGTCAAGGTAGGAAATCTCCATGTTTTTTATGATTGTTCCATTACCTGTTTCTTCTCTCTTCAGTTCTTTGTATGGGTGTTTTTCTGGTTGATTTGAGATTATTTCCTCTTTTTCCCAGAGAGAGTAATGATGTGTACCACTGTGGAATTAAATCCTATCTGACTATTCTGTTGGGAGTTTTGACGCACTTCTTCCTCGTGCTTTTTAATGCTTCTTAAAGCTTTTCATACCTCTTTACTGGAGTTTAGTAAAGATTGGAATATCTAGCATATTTTCTTTTCAAATAAGTATTGGTAATTTATTTTTTTTTGGTTCATCTGTGAAGAATTCTTATGTGCCTTTTTGAAAACTTATCATTTGCAGTTACTTTAGAACAGCAATTTATTGAAAGGTACTATACTAAAAATGTTTTATTGTATTCTACTTGGGCTATGAAGTGTAGGGAACCATGAAGACTGAAAAATACAAATGATAGATATGTCTCTTTATCTTTATTTTCTAGCCTTCTTTGAATCCTGGAGGGAGCCAGTCATCTGATGTGGTACTTTTGAACCACTGGAAAGTGAGAAATTTCGAAGTACAACGTGGTGACATTGTTTCATTGGTGTAAGTAATTCAGAACATACTATTTTTGTATATACAATTATTTATACTTATGTTGATTTAGCTGGTAATACACTGTTAATACCATATTGCCAATTAATAAATTAATGAGTATATTTTAAATATAGTGTGTTTTTAAAAATCAGTTGCGAAATGTAACAATGCTATAAATAAATGATTTTTATATTTAAAATATATCAGTTGATTGATACACTTGGATTTGGTAGAATGTGTTTAACGAAACATTGATTAGAAATTATTACACTGATGATCCAAAATACATATTGCTTTGGAATATTTTGAAAGCGACTTTTATGTGACCCCAATGTTTTCTTAGATTGTGTAGCTAAAAAATATTTCTAGAAGGTGATAATTATGACATGAAATTCAGTAATATTTATATGCATTAGGAGTTTAACTGAAAAAGGCAGTTTGTAAGAATAGTGCTGGAGGCTTTTGTTTGAGACCAAAAGGTGGCACTGTTTCTCTGTTAAACTATTATGACTGGTCAGAGACAAAAATTTCATTTCAGTTTTGATGTAGAAAGGATTGTCCAAGTGTGCATATATGACACAGTGATATAATACACAGTCCTAGCACATGCTTGAATGGCTTAGATTTGAAATTTTTGTTTTTTTAAAAGCAAATTCATAATGAGAGAGTGAAACAACTTGTCTAAATTCTTTTGGTTTCAGCTACTTATAAAAATGTTTCAGTATGACTTCCTGTTATGCCAGTGAGTGCACCGGGGTAGCAGCTATGTGGCAGTATTACTGCTATTTGTTTTAGTGAGAGTAAAAACCTACTGTTGAGTGAAGACTTTTCCAATTTATAATTCTCATTCTTGAATTGGAATGATTTTTGTCTTGTTGGATTATAATTTATAATTGTTTGGTAAAACCAAAACATTATCTACTTGTTCATACTTACCTTTGGCCAGTGCTTTATGGAATTTGATGTGTGTCCTTCAAGATTGTTCTACCAGTATTCATTTGAAAACATATTAACCGCATCTGGTTAGTAATTAATGAAATAAATAAATTGCACTGGAGTTTTTTATGGCAGAATCAAAGGATGGGGTTTAAATACTTCTGAGGTTCTGAGTGCTTTCTTTGATGTTAACATACTCCTCAGAGTGTACCTTTGTTTTGTCATTCAGAGTTACTATTTTTATAACCTCCTTAACATCCTTTTCCATGCTGGGTTAGCCTGTCATATGCTCATTATTCTTCTGCCTTTGGTTTGACAAGGTTACATCCTCACTTGGTCTGTGATGGCGAGGATACCCACCCAAGTGAAAGAGGTCACACTATAAGGAGAGAACTGTGTGTGGTGTGTGTGTGTGTGTGTGTGTGTGTGTGTGTGTGAGTATATATATATATATATTTTTTTCCTCATGAGGAACATGTTGACTATCTCTAAGTAAATGGATTTGATAGGTAATTGAAAAATTAAAAAAGGCTCCTTGAAATTCCTATAAAAGTACCCTAGCATATCATGAATTATGTTAAAAAGAGAACACTATCATTTTATGTAAATATTAAAGTGATTGATATTTATTATATAAATTTCAAAAACATTATATTCAAGTTGGAGTTAATACAATAAATTATAGATACTCTAGATGAACTATGTTTTTAGTGAGTCAGTTATGTGCTATATCTTTGTCATGTACAAATAACACAAACTTTCTTTAATAATGCTTGCTGCTAGCAGGAGCAATTTACATAAAAGAATGCTTAGTGATTGGGATTATATTATGTAACAACAAGTGATCATAAAGCAATATTGTTGCTGTTTTTGAGAAAGAAATAAAAAGTATGACACTAAATTCTTCTTTAGCGTGATATAATACTATAAAAGCCAGTATTTAAAGTTATCTTTTTGGTTTTATGAGAAAAAATGCTTTCTAGACACTATCCTTATATTTTCATACAATTTATAGACTACTTCATTTCAAAAGATGTTGGTTTGATTAATGTTGATAATATACATTTAATCTATGTCAAACAACAATGAATATTTACTTTTCTAACAAATGCATTCGTCTGGTTTCAACATGGGAGATAAAATTTATTACTACATTGGAACATACTATCTACCTAAAAAAAATGTGATTAATACAGAAATGCATGTCTGAACGTTGATTTTAAAGCTAAATATAAAATGTACTTTGTCATTTTGCTTAAAAATTGATATTAATAACACATTTTATTGATACATAAGTAACCTCAGGAAACAAGGTAGTATAACATTTTTGTGTTTAAAAAAATCCTGCGCCAGAATTTCGTGTTCAGAAATGTGGAAACACAGCATTTCTACTATACTATATTTCTACTACATTTCTGAAAAATTTTCAGTTTTCAAATTCATACTTAATAGGGCTTATGCAACTTTATATTAACACAGTTTAAAAGACATGACATTCCTAATAAACAAATAAACTGCAGTAAATGCAGGATTTTACTTAAAACAAAAAGGGTGAAAGTAGGTGGGTGATATAAGGAAGGGGTGAGGCTTTTTATGGATACAGGGGCAGAGGGACATTGTCATCAGAAGTTGCAAGCAGAGAAAGTGTTGTGAGCTTTGTACAAAATATATTGATATCTGAGATGTGTGCTCTGATAATTGTTTTGGATTACTTTTGTTTATTTATTTCTATTATTTTGTTAAAACAAAGATCAGGATTCACCTTGCAACAATTGCTTCTAAGAGAAGGGTTGAATGTATAATACTGATTCTTTCTTGTCTTGCTGCCAGGCTTGCTGCCATTAGCGTACCTGCCTTCAGTTGCTTTTACTAATAAGGCAAAACATTAACAATGTAGGGGAAAAAAAATCACATATGAACCAGTGTACCTTCTTCATTATACTAAAGTCCTTTCTCCATTTACCAACTGTCTGTGAGCGAATTCAGATTACAAAAACATGTGCTGTAGCAGAACAGACTGTCCCTTCTATTGCGAGGGGTTTTGTTTGGAACCTGTTGACCAGTGTTGTTTCCTAAAGCATGGAAGGTCTAGGGGAGAGAGGTGAGTGCATGCTGGAATACGTATCTTTGCATCTCTTCCTTATCTTTTCTTGTCTCTTTCTTTGTGTAAAAATTGGTGACAGTGTAGCTATTGTTTAAGCATGTTATTAGTAGTGTTAATTCAATTTTATTATATTTTTGGGCAGCTGGCTAGTTACGGAGATCAGATCCCTTGACCTTAGTGTTATAAAACCATGCTCTAATCAACTGGGCAGTCCCGTAATGTTAATTCAAAAGGTATATTTATTTAAAAACATTATTGGTCTCACAAAATATGATTTGCTATCATCAAGTCCTCAGTATTACTGAGTATATGTAGGGGGCATAATACTCTCTTAGTGGATTTGCAAACTAATAGTAGTGATTAAAGTGGATTTTCTATATCTTGGAATTGACTTTTCGTTAACCTGTGTGGTAGCCTTACAGCAATAGGTTTAACAGAAGTAGCACTATTTCACGATAATATTATCACTTAACAAGTCCATTGGGATAGAGATTCTTTCATAATAAAGTTCCAAATAATCACATTTAAAAGTGTTTTAACTTTTTATTTTGAAATAGTATTAGGCATAAAGAAAAGTGGCAAAAATAGATTAGAGGGCTCCTATATAATCCCCTAATGTTAACATTATACACAATCATAGTTCAGTTATTAAAACCAAGAAATTGACATTGGTACAATATTGTTTACTAGTCTATAGACCTTATTCAAATTTCTCCAGTTTTCCCACTAATGTCCTTTCTCTGGGCCGAATTTCATTTTATTTTTCATGTTTCTCTAGTCTCTTCCAACCTGTGACAGTTCCTTGGTCTGTGTTAGTTTCTTATGACCTTGACTCTTTTGAAGGGTCCTGGCCAGTTATTTTGCAGTATGATGCTCAAACCTTTTTATGTTTGAGGCCAGTCTGTCTTCAAATGGAGAAGCAATGATGTTGATGGCAGTTGCTGAGGACACTGCAACAGTCGTAGCAGCTGAATGAGGTAGACGCTCTGGCTTAGTGGGCAGGTGGGTAAGACAGGGGCAGAGGAAAAGGAGATCATAGGGTCTCTCTTTCAGGAACAGATCTTTTTAGTTTCTTAGGACCACATACTTTGGGTCATGAGTAGAAGGGTGCGTGGCTTTCAGATATAAGTCCAGCCATTCAATTTATAGCTGCTAGGAAGCAAGGAGAGAGAGCTATGAGGGTAGGTGAAAAGGCCTCAGTTTATAGTAGAGTAGAAGAAAAGGAAGAAGAGCTAGATGACAGATTACACTAATATCGAGCTGTTGTTCAGTTCAAAGTAGAAGGTTCAGGGGAGGGAATTTTGGTTTAATGAGCAGCCCTATATATATAGGCATTGTGCTAAGTGCATTGGGTATGCTGTTTTATTTCATTGTCATAACAATATGTGGAGACAGTTATTTTTAACATCATGAATATGAGATTCAGGGCAAGTAAATGGCAAGCAAATAGCACAGCAATAGAATCCAGTTCCACTTGACTGTAAGCCTGTGCTGTCCAATATAGTAGGCATGTGGTTATGGAGCACTTGAAATGTGGCTACTGCCACTTGTTAAAATGGTAATATTCAAATAAATATATTTAAATTAATTCCATCTGTTTATTTTTTCTTTTTTAATGTGGCTAGTAGAAAATTTAAAATATGCATATGACATGCATTATATTCCTGTTGTACAACGCTGTGGCTAAATCTTTTTCCATTGTATCCTGCTACTTCCCTGCAGTGTGTCTAAGGTGAACTAAGATGAAATCCTAAAGTGAGAGTTGGAAAACATTGAGGTAGTTGCTATGAAGCAAAGGTGTACTCTCAAAGATTGGTAAACACTTGGTGAGAGTGTTGTGGTGATCAGATCCAAAGACAAAGGGACAAAGACATGCAGTCTATGTAGAGAGAAAAAACAACATAACAGTTTTTTAATATTTATTGACTGCTTATTATTTTTCAGCCACTGGGCTAAGAGTTCTAAATTT